AAGTGTGTGATAATTGTGGTGATACCACATTGGGAGGTGTTGGGAGAATACATTTATGAGAAACCTGGCCACATGGCCAAGTTTTTATGGGGAAAACAAGAGTAAGGACATTGATCAAAGACCCACTAAGTTTGACTATGTCTTCACGCTCTCACAAGAGACTATTGACTCCCTAGATATGATTAAAGGTATAATCAAACCCCCAACAATAATCTTCATGTATTAGGTGACTCAAGTGCCATGCACTCGTGTATTTAGAATTGTATTCCAAATTTGAACTTGCTTGTGTGAGTGAATGTTGCCTTTTGACAAGATTGTGTCTACCTTGGACGATATGTCTATGAGGATTGCTAAAGCCTATCTAAACTTTTCATTACAGGTTTTAAAGATAGTATTGAGAATACAACAACAACAACAAGTCTTTATCTCACTAAGTGGGGTCGGCTACATGGATTGCAAGATACCAATGTGCTTTATCATGTATCAAGCTTTTAGGAATATTATTAATTAAGAGATCACGTTCAATAATTTCCAACAAAGATAGTATTGAGAATGAATGTCCAAAAACAAATTTAGTCTTGCTATTCAATACCACCAACCATCACTCTTAAAACTAAATCAACTAAGAAACTCATCTTGCTTTAATGAAGCTTAACTAACAAATCGATCTTCTGATGATTGCCTTAGTCAAGTCAGTATTCAATTAAATTAAGATGGCTTAATATAGCATAGGTCAACCCTAAATCATTCTTTTCAAAGAGCAATTTAAGGGTTGTCTTAAGTTGATTCTAGGTAAATTTGGTAAAGGGGACAACTTAGGATTTCATATAGAGTCAACTTTTCTAGCACAAATTAATTAGTTAGACTAAAGGGAAATAATAGAAGAGTGAAATTAATAAATTCAGTTATTCAATTAAAGCAAAAGGAACCCACAAACACAACGTCTGATACTTAGAGAACTCATAGTGAACCAAATGCTTAAACTATAAATTAGGCAAATTAAATTTATTAAAATCAATGATGATTCATTCAAAATAATTCTGAAAAGTATATTTAAATTATCTAATTGAACAATTAAAAAAATTACCAACTCAATTGAATAATCAAGAGGTAAAAGGAATAACCCAAATTTATAACAAATACTACAATGACAATTAAATCAACAATGAGAATTCAATCATTACTTCAATTAGCAAAGCAAAAGGTATATAAACATAAATTTTTAAAAGTCATTCAACACACAATCAATTCAAATATCAATCCAATCTAAGATTTAAAAATATTTGCAACTTAAAACTAAATTGTATTCAAGTATTACAACTTAAAATCATCTAAAACTAAATAATCTTAAACTTTTAAATTAAAAAGATAAATGAAAAATGACTCTCTAATGATCTTCAAGTATAAGTTTTAGACTCTAGCTTCTTTCATACTTATCTCAAGTTGTCTCCCAAACATACTCAAGCTCTCATGGATGAAGCTCTTCCTCCAAGCTCCCGCCAAGTCACGGTCATGATATTTATCGGAGTGAAAAGTGAGGTGTGTTGTGAACCATTGTGAAGGAGAGAAGAAGAAACGTGGCTGTATCCGGAAATGCTAATTAAATGAAAGAAAAAAAATGTGGCTGTATGTGTGCGTGAATTAAATAAATGAAAGAAAAAAAATGAAATGATGATGAAATAGAGTGGGAATGTGGTCGACGTAAAGGAACGGTGGATGATGCTAGACGCATAAAGAAAAGAAGAAAAACGGAGAGAGAACTTCCTTAGTGAAGGTGGCGGCTGGGAGTAAAAGAGCAAGGCAGGAAAGTTGGAGAAAATGATTTAATAGCTAGGCAGATAATTTATGAAAAATTTCAACCAATGAATTAAAAATGAGCCAATAAAAAAAAGTAAAAAAGTTCTTTAATTTTTCTTGTTTGAAAATATCCATTATACCCTTAATGAATTTTAATAATTTTTTTTTGTATTGTTTTTTCATAGCTTTTGAACACTTTTAATTATCAAGATTCAATCTTTATCATTGAGTTTCATTAATTTTATCTCTGTATCCTAAAAAATTAAATGTACCTACTAATGTATGCTATGCTCAAAATAAATCTCAAGTATCAAGAAATACTTCAAAATTAATTTTTTTCAACAATTAAAATTTTTTAACAAAATGGCTAAAAACTCAAATAATGTGTAATAATTTAAATTAAGCTCTATTAAAGATAGACAAAATCAAACCATGTTAAGAATAGAAAAATAAAATATTAAAAAATTTCTATAATTAATTCAAAAATTTTTATAATTAATTCAAAAATATATTATTTTAAAATTGGCACAAATTAGCCCAAAATTATCATTAAAATGTATGAAAAATGTGAGATAAATTATAAAAATTATTATCATCTTCCATATCTTTTCTATTGAGCCACACATACATTTAGCCTTTAACATAGTATTTGGTTGGAGGGATTTGGAGAGAAGGGGAGAAATTTTAATGAATTTACCTCCCTTCTTATCAACCTATTAATCTAATAACCAAAATATCCCTAGTCATTTTCTCAATTATAAAATTAAACTTAAATATCGCTAGTTATTTTTAAAATTACAAATTATCCCTCTCTATTTGTGTTAAAATAAGGATCATACCATATATTATCTGCGTTGACTCAAGTCTAAAACAATTTAACTAATCAAACAAATAAATAAAGTATTTATGTGGAAGCCACCTCAAGGATGAAGAACATATTGAACCTGCTTTAAACCCTTTGTGCGGTTGTGCCAGAAACGGTGAAACACTTGTCCATTTTAGGGAAGGGGGGATATAGCACAAAAGAACTTAAAGGTTTAGGGTTGCGATATTTAATTAATTATTATTTTTCCTCCCCTCGCTTTGCGGCCCGAACAAAGGGAAATAAAATCCCTTGCCTCCAGGCAAACGAAATAAGAGAACAATAAAATCTCCTTAGCCCCCACTCCATTAAAAATGCTCCTCTCCATTTAACCAAACAAACTGTACAAATTAAATTGGACTCTTACGTCAGATAAGCTCAAAATCAGAATTTTAATATCGTAATTGAGATAGAATTGTAAGCTACTGTGTACTAAAGCTGTAAAGCAGGGCTTTGGCTGTCTATCTAATATGGTTGCCTCAAATAGTGTCATTGAGGAGTGAGAGAAGTCAATTTAGTCAAAACCATGGCCAGTAGATGTTGCCAAATAGGCAAAGACTTAAGTAAGGGATTGCGGGGCAAGAAGATTCAAGTGGGGCTGGGTATGATTTTATAGACTGGTTTATGAGAGATAGGTATAAAATGATATGAAATGATAATAAAATTTTCTTAAATTATATAAATAATTATTTAATTTTTTAAAATATTATAATTTTATTGTCAATAAATTTTAAAGTGAAAATATCATTTTACTTTATTAAAAATAACAAGTTTCAATGTCAACTTTTACTTAAGAAATAACAATATTTGTTCTATAAATTGTAATAAATAAAATAAAAAATTATAATTTGTCAAATGTAATTTTTGTGATTGAAAAATAAGCCCTTATCACAATGTTTGATTGAGAAATAACAACTTTCGTTTTGTGAATTACAAGTATTAAACAAGACATCACAACTTTAAATATAATTTTTATTATTAAAAAATAAATTTTAAAATAACAAATTCCAATCACAACTTTTTTTAAAGAATAACAATTTTTATTTAAAAAATTACAAGAATTGAATAAGAAATCAAAACTTATCAATAAAGGTAAAATAATTTTTTTAATTTAAAATTTATTGACACAAAAGTGTTTAAAGACTTTTGTAAAATTATAGTATTTTGAGAAATCAATTGTTATTTATATAATTCAAAAAATTTTATTATTATTTTTTCTCAAATGATTCACTTTCTAGATTGGTTATCTCTATTACCAGTTTAAAAAAAAAATATATTTAAGATTGGTTATATAAGGAATTGGTTTAGAAAATATACCACTTATGTACATTATTTATAAAAATGTCACCACACTCAATTTTTTAATCTGTTCCACAACAACCGATTTAAAAAGGACGGTTTAAATAATGTTTTTATCTACTTGTGTTGATTTTGTGAAGTCCAAGCACAGCATAGACACAACAAAACACATCATTGAAGGGAATTGGTATTATTTGCAGCCAAACCCCTACCTTTTGTGATGAAATGGCTTTTGGTTTACTGAGAAGCAATCCTTAAAAAAAAAAAAAAAGCCTTTTCTACATTATTTCTTGGGAATACAGTGATGAAGGATTGTTAAAAGAAATTCATATTAATTAAATATTAATTATTATTAAAATTCAGTAAGTTGTTATTAAAATTTAAAGAATACTTGTTGATAATGATCAACTTAAATTAATGAGTATCTATTTAAATTTTGATAATATTAAAAATTTTCCCATCCTTGATTCATGTTTTTCTTTATTTCTTTCTCCTAAAATTCCAGAATGAAGTTCATTCACTTCCTTGGATTTTACTTTCCTTTTTCATTTTGGTTAGATATATCCTGCCACATCATTGCTCGTATGAAGCATAGAAGAGTTCGTTGAGCTTTCACGTATGGGGATTAGCGTGTTTTTGTTTTTGTTTTTGTTTTTGGGGTGGGGGATGATGTGGTCAAAGGATGGGGATTAACGTGTTTGACGGAGCCAAATGTAAGGATGGATTTACTCACCTTTAAACTCAAAGGACTGGATGGAAAAGTCAGGTAAAGTATGAGGACTAATAAAGTATACAGTTTCCCATTTCAAAAATCCCAAAACGACAACGTTTGGAGCGGGCAGACCGCTGAAGAAAGTTGAAACTTGAACGTGAACCTAAACCCCTCACGCTCCACAGCTTCAGTCTTCACCAGTTCACCTTCACGCAGAGTGGCATAAATGCAGGCACGCAGAGACTCACTCACTCACACTGGTTAATCGCTCTTCCTCTCGCTTAACTCGACAAAGGCTCTCACTTCAGTTCAGATTCAGAATTCAGAGTTCAACAACTCAACGTTCACGGCTTCAATTTGTTGCTGCGTTTGATTTGCTCTTCTCTGCGTTCTCGTTCATCTCTGCTCAGATTCAGATCTTCAGTCTCCTTCATCCATCGGCGTCATCCTCTGTTCTGCTTTCTACCGACCTGTTAGGTTTTTTTTTTTTTTGAGTTATTTCTTCTGTCTCCTTCATTTTTCCTTTTTCGAGTTATTTTATCCTCTGTTCTGATTTCTATCTTGGATTTGTTTGGACTTCAATTGAATATGTAAATATTCAGCCTGCCATCTGGAACTACTTAGTTGGTTATTATCTGATATGATATTAGAAAATGGATAGTTGTATTAATATTGATATTAATTCAGGCGGATTCCTCTGTGCTCGATTCTGGAAAAATTCTTGAGGTATTGATGGACCAATGTACTTATTAGCCACATATATGTACTGAAACATGAATGAAATACAAGTGAGATATCAAAGCAAATAGATTTCTATAAAGCAAGTGAACTGAAAAACATGCCGGTAAGAATTCTACTTTGTGTTGACTGTATTTCTCTCGGATTGCGTGTAAATTAGAAGCATGGGCGCTATATTGTTAAATTATGCAAAAAAAAAAATTTTTTTATCGCAAATTGTTTCCGATTCCCTTATCGCAACGCTCTTCGGCTCTATCTCTTCCTCTAACCCATACATTGATCTACTTGACTTTTTGGTAGGAATAAATGGAAAATTGTTATTCGTGAAGCAATATACTTGGTTTTTAGCAGAATGTTCGATGATGTTGAGCAAAAATCGTAGCCAATTGATATTTGTTACAGTGAGATGCTACTCCAGGGTTCGCCCTCCACGACCCATTACGGATGAACCTGTAATCAGAGTGTCCAACAACATTGCACGCCTTGATGCTCCAAAAGAAGGTCCGAAACCCAGGCAGCTTCTCTCATTGCCTCCTTTCCCACCTCACTCTTTGCCTGGTAAGAACTCAATCACTGCTTCAGGGCAGCCTGGTCATACAACTGCTATCAGTTGGGTGAAGTACTACTTCAAGGGAATGTGGAATTCTGTCATTGAGTCCCATTTCAGGGATGGTCTTGTAAGTATTCTCTTCATTTCTCTTTGTGTGAAAACTTGAATTTTCTTCTCCTTCTTTAATGTAAGTGTCTGAAACAAAATTCTGCAAATTAAGTTTCATGGTGTTCGACTATCTTTGGTTGATCCAGGAAGAACAAATGCAAATTAATTTTTGATGGGGTGCAGGTGCTGTGTTGATATCATAGAAGCACCCTTTCAGCAGTGTGCCTAGAACTCTTAAATATAAACAATTACATAATGAGAAGAAGAAAAACAGATTTGGATAGATAGGATGTACAAAAAGAGAGAGGGAGAGAATGATAGAACTGAACTGAAAGATGGCGGAGAAGAAAGAGGGTGCAGATGAACCAAACTTGATGGACAAAACTACAAAGAGGACCGTCTGAGAGAGAGGGGAGGAGTGAATAAAATGTAGATATTTTGTTTCCTGTAGTTTGTTCAAATTGACGATACGGTATGGGCCATGTGGCACGTGGCTTATGCCATGCTTTGCCATAACGAAGGATACTGCAGCACCACAGCCATGGTTTTGCTTGACTAACAATGATATTTCTATAGTTTCACAAGAGCGAATATGCAATTTGCTTTCAAGTAATATTTATAGTTTGTTTTGTAGTCAAGTGTAGTGATTGAAAAGTTTACTTATAGGTTTTGCTGTTATTTTCTTGTTCAAGGTCAAGATGGAAGACCCAGTTTCTGATAAACCTTTCACTCAAAATGAAGGGCAGAAAGCTATGAGGAAGGTACTGAATCTACTTATACTTTCATCTAGCTTTCCTGGCCAATCATTGAGTCACAAACCTTGCTCCGGACTCTGGAGAATCTCCTGTGTGTGTCTATTTATTTTGAATTAGTCAATTGCTTACAATTTGTTGTAGGTTTAATGATACTACAACCATACAGCTTGACAACAGATTAAACATAATGAAGTGATGGAGCCTGGGGCAAGAATTCATGTCCCTGTATCGGTTGCTGAGACTAGGATTTCTAAAAGATATGACACAATACCTAGTGGAACATTATATCCAAATGCTGATGAAATTAGGTATCTGCAGAGGCTTGTGATTTACAAGGCATGTCTTCTAAATCTTAATTTATTCAATTTAACTATTTTCCTTCTGTTTCATTAGTATATATTTTATTAACTGTAGACTTTGTTCAATGTATTTCTTTTCAGGATTCTGCCATAATTGTACTAAATAAACCTCCAAAATTGCCTGTTAAGGTTTGAGTATTTGTTAACCCACACTCTGCAATCACTATGCATTGATGTTCTTGCTTTTTGTTTTTTGTTTTCATTTTAATTTTCTTGTTAACCTTGTTAGGGAAATCTGCCAATTCATAATAGCATGGATGCATTGGCAGCTGCAGCGCTTTCCTATGATTATAATGAGGGTCCTAAGTTGGTGAGCTCCCCTGTTCAGATTCTTATCAGCAAGCAAAACAATTTAGTTGACTTTTGACAATAAAATGCATTATTGGGCCTTATAGCATTTTTTTCTCCCTTTGATTCATTTTCCCTTGTAGTCTGTAATGCAAACTTGATGTGCTTGATGTCAAAATAAATTTCTTGTAATGAGAGAAGAATGTCTAATACTTTCTAATTTTTGAATCATTCAAGCAGAGAGAGGAATTTATGGGCCTGAAACTGTGTACCAAAGATATAAGGGTAGGGTGAGCTTATTGCGCTTAAAATAACAACTAAATATTGTACTACAAAAGGAACAAGGATAGAACAGACATGGCCATAGGGCCTGAGAAAGTAAACGACCAGGTAAATGGTGACTAACTCTAGCAGAGTGTATCATGCTCAGACCAAGGTGGATTAGCGATAGCATTTGTGAGTTCCAAGAATCTTGACAAGGGTTGTGAGGGAAAATTCTATTTTTCAAATTGCTGGAGTCTGTTTTCTTTCTCTGCATCTTTGCTGCTGATTTATTTTCTGTATTTCATTTCTTTCTTTCTTTCTTTCTTTCTTTCCTTTCCTTTTGTTTTCGTTTTTTATTATTATTTTTTTCTTTTTGCTGGCAGGTTTTCATACATGTTTTTCTTTTTTTGATGCTATATCGTGTATTTACCTTGAGTTCTCACCTTTCTCCTATGTTTATGTGACTGATGAGGCTGGATAGTATCTAACATAAATGTCATTTTTTAGTGAGATCTAGAGCTAAAGCTTATTATATTTACAAAATGAATGAGTATATCTCATAAGAGATGCGGTCAGCATATGAACATGTTCTTGATGTGGTTGCGTGTGATTGGTCTGTTTCATTATATTTTGGTCTTATTTCTAGTAGAAGTCACAATGTTATAAGAGATGCGGTCGGCATATGAACATGTTCTTGATGTGGTTGCGTGTGATTGGTCTGTTTCATTATATTTTGGTCTTATTTCTAGTAGAAGTCACATTGTTGATCTCATTTGTCTGCATATGCTTACTTGCAAATAGATATGCAATATAAACTATAAAAAATATTTTTGAGAAAGCATTTGAATTCATGTTTGTTCAGGTAATGGCAGCATTGATTGATTGCAAGTTTCTTCAAAATAAAAAAAAAAGAAAAAAGAAAAATTGATTAATGATTTAAAGAGATAAGGGAAATAGGCTAAAGTATACATTTAGTTATTTAACTTTATACAACATTTCATTTTAGTCTCTTAACTTTATAATGTGTATTTTTAGTCCTTTAATTTTAATATTGTTAGTTTTATTCCAATAAATTTTTACATTGAACTTTCAAATATTAACAAAACATTCTCAAATGTTGACATATTAAGTTTAATTTTTTCAAAATAACAATGATTGACATATAAAATAATCATTTGAAACTAACGATGTTAGGGTCAAAAGACTAAAAAGATACTTTATAAAATTAAAGGACTAAATTGAAACCTTATATAAAGTTAAAGGACTAAAAGTATATTTTAACTAGGAAAATAAGCCTATCAAGTATTCAAGTCATGAGTTTGAATCAGGTACTGCTGAACCACAAATTATAATCTTAATTTTCTTTTGATACATTCTTACACTTAAATGGTTCTATCCTGATATTGTCTGCAATGTCTTAAACCAAGTTCTTGAATTGCTTGCTTTTTCCTTTTTTTTGGCCAACAATTGGTTGCATTTTCTTGAATATGTACGTATCTATGTATGTATGTATTTGTGTCCTTACTTTGTAAGTTGTCAGGTTCACCGTCTTGACAGAGAGACCAGTGGCATCCATTTGTTAGGAAGAACAGAAGATAGCATAGAACACCTTCAGTGGCTGTTCAGTAACATAAACCAGGCAAAATCTTCTAATAAGGTGCCTTTTTAACATTATATCATGAACTTTTTTCTTATCAGTTTGTGACTTGAGGTTTTTGTAAATAAGATCACCTTTCTGTTTCATTTTTAAACTAGTTTATTGGGTTTATGTCAGGCTTGGAATGATGCATGTGAAGCTACATATCAGAGGTATTGGGCATTGGTCATTGGCACTCCTAAAGAGAGAGAAGGCTTAATTTGTGCCCCTCTTTCAAAGGTTCTTGTCTCTTTCTCAGTTTTATTTGTTGTAGATTTATTTCTGCATCCATGTTATCATTTATTTATTTTAAAAGTGGTTGCTTTCTTCCTGTGTTTCATTCATTTTTAAAACTTATTACTCAATATAGGTTCTTCTAGATGATGGGAAGACAGAGAGAGTAGTACTAGCCCACCAGTCTGGTATTGAACCTCATCAAGAAGCTATAACTGAGTATCGGGTTCTTGGTCCGAAGATAAATGGTTGCTCCTGGATTGAGCTACGTCCACTTACTTACCGGAAACATCAGGTATCTTGGATTCTCTGACTGACGCTTGCAATAGTAGTGGCACTATCTTTAGCCGTGCCATGTGTGCTAATTTCAAATGCTCGTTTCTATGTTGTCTTAAATTGACTGATGAACTATATATTATATTGGATTTTTCAGGGCTTATCTTTGATTATCCACATGCACCAGTAAATTATACTTGTGTCTTTCATTAATAAAGTATGGGAAAATAAAAGCTTATACAGATTATTAATGAATATTTATGGTTTCTTTCAATATGTTTTACCAGAACTAAGAAAAAACTTTAAAATTTAATAACCTTGTCTAAAAATTTAATAAGCTTCCAACTTTATTCTATGAAATATATATCATTTAATAATATATTTTCTCTCACCAACATTTAATGGAAGGTAGAAGAGAAAAATTATGATGATAAATTTATGACAACTAATAAATAAGGAAAAAAAAAAAATTCTTTCTCTTTTTACAAAATAAGACTAGAGGAAGCATATAGGTCTGCTCTTGCGTGCTCTGTTAATGCAGCTAGCTTATTTCACGGATCTTATTTCTTTTTTCACAGTTGCGAGTTCATTGTGCTGAAGCACTTGGCACACCCATAGTTGGCGACTACAAGTATGGCTGGTTCGTGCACAACCGATGGAAACAGATGCCTCGAGTCGACATTGAGCCAATGTCTGGACAGCCATACAAGTTGAGGAGGCCGGAAGGCCTGGAGGTTCAGAAGGGAAGTGTTCTGTCAAAGGTTCCATTGTTGCATCTTCACTGCAGAGAACTGGTACTGCCCAATATTTCGAAGTTTTTGCGTGTTTCGAAGAGATCACAAGAATTGAGCCCTTCACGTCTTAATAGCTTGAATCCTGATGTTATTCGGTTTGTGGCAACAATGCCCTCTCATATGAGGATCAGTTGGAATGTAATGTCATCTTATTTGGTTTAAGGACTAGTTTCTCTCGAAGTGTCATTCATTTTTTATGACATGTACCTTGAATAGTTAGGCTGTTGACGCTTTGACAGCATAATCTAGATTATCATCATTTTGTGATGTACATTATTAAGAGAAATAATAGTGCAGGTTAATTTATTCTTTCGAGATTGGGTTCAACGATACTTGATATTTTTATTTTAGAAGTTAAAGCCTTTGTATTTTAAGAAAATTGGGTTACCCAATAACAACCAAGGCTGGCTTAGGGATTTTTTTAAATATTTGAGCTATTATCCTAGCACTTTTATTGAACATTTGGATATTTTAAAAGGCATCAACCTATGTTGGAAATGTGATTTTTTAAAATTCACAATTACTCTGACTCTCTTAAAGCTCTCACACTTATGTAGAGTAATTTCACCATGAATCATCCCCTTCTCAATACAGTCAAGAAGATTAAGGATTTTACGATGAGAGATTGAATAATTATTTTTGAATATGTTAAAAAAATTAATAAATGTTCAGTTTAGCTTATCCATCAAACTTCTAATAATAACTTTGAAAAACTACGATTTTGGATGAGCGACCTTCTAGGTATAAAAATTTAATGATATCTAACATGAACATTTTTCCTTGCACAACTATCCATGGCATTGTATTCCAACCCAAACAAAAAAAAAAAAAAATACAACATTTTAAAATAAGGATTAAGATTAAAATTACACTTTAATTCCATTTTGTACCATATTTTGGATATTTTATAAATATGGTAGAATGATAAGTTTTATTGTATATATAAATATTTTTTTAAAAATGGGAACATTATTGTTCACGCTCTCTCCTCTCCATCGTGTACTGCTTAGGCAAGTACTCCGGCGCGCCCCCCCCCCCCGGCCAAAAAAAAAAAAAAAAACAAACGAACAATTTTATTTCCTCTCATTTTTTTCTTCCCAGCAAACTAGATAGTAAATGTGGAGGTTAATGGTCAGCTGCGAGCGTTAGATCCAAATGCCGTTAAAGCAGGATAAGACTACGCGAGAACGTGCAAGAGGACCATCCACAGTATACGTAGCGATTTACGTTCAAACAACAGTTCAACATTTGTTCTTGAGATTGAACTTAAGTTTGAATTTATAGTTGGCAAAACACAATAGTAAGTTCCCTACACTTTGATTACATTTTGTTGTAGTTCAATAATTTTATTTCATTATCTCAAATCCTTTTAGTTTGATTAATCTGCAATATTAGTCCTTATAATTTTAAAAATACACATAAAGACCATGACAAAAATAATTTAGTGTAACTTTGCCAATATGATAAAAAATATGTTGATGGCATGAAAATAAATTGACCAAGTATGATTAAAAATTAAACATAAATAGGGGGGAAAAAGCTTTCTTTTGTATTGGACTTAAAACATAATTTAAAAGACAAAGGCGAGATTAAGCACAGCTCACCAAGGAAGTTAACATAGTTAAATATATGTCACAAAATTAACTCTGTCAGTATCAACTCATGATTCTTATATGCATTTTTAAAACTATAAAAACTAATATTGCAAACAAATTAAATTAAAGTGATTGAGAACAATGAAATAAAACTATAAGAACCAAGAGAAAAACATAATCAAAGCACAAGGGCTTATTATTATGGGTTAAAGGGCATTACTTCCCTTCGAAAAGTGCTAGACATCTTATACTAATAAGTAGAGCATTTTTCCTTCTAAATCATTTCTTAGAGGAGCAAAAATTTCCCTTCATTAAAGCATCACTAACCAAAAGGGATTTTAGCTCCTCTGGAAAATGCTTCAGGGGGAAAAATGCTTCATTTATTAGTATGAGATATCCAACGCTCCTCAAAGGAATGTCTAGGGGGAAAATACACTTTAACCTTAAGCTAGAAACATACCCACCATTAAAGATAGATGACTATGTTTCTAATAAAACCAACCCTGTTAAAACCTAGACATATCTACAAGTTGTCATCCAATTAGAAACTACAAAACCTAAAACAAGTCCACACATTCTGAAAGAGCAAACAACTAAAACAATTACTCATTACATCAAAAAATTTCCATTAACGAATGATAGAAATCCACTGCAACATAAAAAATACATATGCCAGATGAAATTATTGTTGCTATTTGCTCTAATAACAAATCATTGGTTTAATTGAGTAACTAAATAAAATAGACAGATCCTTCTTTCTCTTCGTCTCAAGTCAATGGATCTTCTCAATTGAAAGATCCCCTATATGGATAATACTCATTCCACTTGACCGAGCCTAATTCGAATTGTTTTGTTTTGAAGCAAAGACATCCATGGGGTGGTTTGTCCTATTCTGATATTCATGACCAAAAGTACTGCATTCTCTTTCCTTTCGAATAGGCCCTATAGAAAGAGAAGGAAAGCTGGAATTCCAACAGGCATCTATTATTGAATTCACCCGATGCAAGAGTACCGTACCCATTTTGGGAATGTCCAGTGCCAAAGTCATTGAATGGGTAAGTCGCCAATCCCTAAAACGCAATATGTAATGTACTTCATCCGCTAAGTTACAGATGAGCATTTTACAAGAGGTTTCTATTGTATCAATCAACCCTTGTGTGATTCTTGTTGAAGCATATAAGGGGGTGGGTGCAGGGCATACGATCTTAAAACGGACTCCTCATTCATTAAATAGAGAAGATTACCAAGATTTCATGATCCATTGTTGAACTTATTCCAATTCAATAAAAGATCTCAATATTATGCCTTGAAGAAGACTCAAACCTCCATGCTCTTTAGCATGAGATTTTGAGTCTCCTCGAAGGAATGTACAAGGGAAAAATGCACTTTAACTCTAAACCAAAAACATATCGACCATTAAAGATAAGAGGACTAGGTTTCCAAAAAAACCAACCCTAGTAAAACCCATATATTAATAAGTTGTTATCTAGTTTGGTCACCAAAAAAAAAAAAAGTTGTCATCTAGTTAGAAACCACAAAACCTGAAACAAGCCCATACATTCCACAAGAATATATCATGACAGTTTGTCCTTTAGAATCAGAGTTCCAAAGGGAATATTGCTGAGACAATAAAGGTAATTTTGCTGCCTCATAAAGAAGAAGACATGGAATTTTATTTCAACAAATTCCAAGAAAGACAGAAAGTATTATGAGCTAATCTTGTTGGCTACAAAATTGGTCACGATTACTCATAAAGAAAAAGATGGAAATTTTTATAGCCAAATGAAAATTCACAAGGTATTGATTCCAACTACTTGGAGTTATTTTCCTTATATGGCCAAAAGTTTTCCAATAGATTATTATGACTAGGGATATACTCTATTCTATAGAAATTATAAACATTCTTAGTTTATCAAGTTCGATCAAGAATACCCAAATGATTTTCCAAAATGGTTTGTTGATTAGTTCCATATCTCCGGACCAGTAAAAAAAAAAAAAAAATTACTACCACCAGTAGTCGTTGAAGGGTATGAATTTTTTAAAGGAAAAAACCAATTTTAAGGATACGGAAAAACCATTTGATTTCTTTTATGGGTTAATGTACATTTTTCTCCCTGTACATTACTTCTAGGAGCGTTGGGCACCCTGTAGTAATAAGTGAAGCATTTTTTCTCCCAGAACCATTTTCCAGAGGAGCAAAAATCCCCCTACGTTAGTGATTCTGAAAAATGGTTCGGAGGAAAAATGCCCCACTTATTAATACGGCATGCCCTGCGCTACTCAAAGGAAAGTTTAAGAGGAAAAATGTACCTTAACCATATTATTATTGTATTTTTCTTTATAGCTTATGCATGACTATAAATGTTTGAACGATCAAACACTCGGCACACCTCATTTCAACAAATATCTGACAACATTTAAACATAAAATATCAAAATGCTAACAAAGGCATGAAATATTCCATAAAAATCACTTCACCTAAAGTTTAAAGGGGGAAATATTTTTTATCAAATCAAATTTAGACTGAGAAATGCAAAGCTTTATATCTCTATACATAACAAAAATTATAAAATGTACACTCTTCATGAGTCAAAACTAGTGTGACTCATTGAGCAAATAGCACGTACACTTTTTTTAATCATTATTATTAAGGACATACACTAATTTGAAATAATAACGAAAAATGCCTATTTGGCATCTCATTGAGCAAAAGATCAATAGTCTATCCAATTTTTTTGAGGAAGTAACTTGACCTGATGTTGTGTGTGTGCAAACTGTTCTAAACATGGTCAAGCAAACTTCAAGTAAAATTTAGAGGATCCTAATTCAACAAAGTCAAAACCAAAAGGTACTCAATACAGAGTTTTGAACCACTTAATAGTAGAGTGAAAATGGGCAATGCTGCCAGACAAGATGAACACTAGGTTTACAGGTAAGCACCTGTCATATCATATTCAGCAGGGTAGAAATAAAAATTCCAAAGTTAAAATAGCAATCCTTTAGAACCCAATTCTTAAATGAACAATTCATTCTTAAACAGATTCACATTATTTTCCAGCACCACAACCCCTTCACTCCAATTATAAAGAGGAAATGAAAAGAGAAATAATCAAGTTCCAGAAACTTCTAGAAGACAGGTGGGTGGAAGCATGCATTGGAGTTGAATTATACATGAAACAAAAACACGAAAAAGAAACACATCATCTAACTAGCCATGGGATGATTAGAGATATACTCAATAGCAAGATGGCATGAGTCGATCTTATCTGCTTCCTTGTCTGGGATCTCCAGCTTGAACTCCTCTTCTAGAGCCATCACAATTTCCACATTGTCCAAGCTATCCAAACCCAAATCTTTCTGGAAATGTGCATGTGGATTTACCTGAGGATCAGGAAAAAACTAGTAAGTCCCATAATATATTTCTTTACCTCCATGATTACAATGTGCAAGAATGCTACATGATCAAAAGGCAAAATGGGAGACATGGTGAACAATTTTGGCTAGTGAGGAATAAGAGTATGAACACTAAAGCATTAACTCTATGATGGCTGCCTAAGTAGCATGGGAAACCCTACCTCAAAAGCTAGCTATCTAGATAACAAAACCAACATTTAAATACCGCATTGAACATCTTATACTACTCAATGTAGGACCTAATATCCTACACTGCCAAAGCCCCATCAATTGGCTTCCAATAGAAAGCCAATTCTAGCAGCTACACTTCATAACACTTTACTCGGCCTCCTGCCGGTTAGAAGCCTCCATGGGTAACTCTCTCCAGAATTGTTGACACCAAGCTCTAATATTAATTGATAAGTAGCAAAGTAGGATAGAGAACCCTATTCCAAAAGCTAGTTGTTGAGGTGTGGGAACCAACCCACTTAAATACCCATTGAGCATCCCATACAACTCAATGTGGGACTTGATATCTCATGCTACCAAGTCTCCCTCACTCTAATACCTCTTTGATAGATATGTAGATGAATAAGGAGTCAAAAACAGGAAAAAAAAATTGGCCGAAGAAAAGGGCAAATTGACAATGAAAAGAGAGTATGCTAGTCTTGCAGACTGTACATTACTTTGGGTTATGGAGAAACAACAACAATCTTTTAGGTAAAGATAATCCATTAATGTGAGAGAAAACAACATATAAATTACAATCATCCCGGAAGTCAAACTCTAAACAAATATTTGCAGGTCACCTACCAAAATTAGTTTGGGAGGAAACAAAAAATTATTCTTTCCAAGAGGTAGACTTAACCAGCAAAACTTCTGGCTAAGAAGTCCTGCACTCCATTCTAAACATAGGCATGACGAACCTCCAAATGCAACACTCACAAACCTTTGAACTCAATAGCTCAAAAAAGATCTAATTTCACTGGATACACCCACTCTATTAAAAGAGACCATGTCCTAACCAGTCATATAAACTACATGCAACAAGGCACCGGAAAGAAAATTAACAACATCAGAAAACTATCAGATATTAATTAGAAACTACTTGAAGTATATTTAGACATACAACTTTAACTCCTTACAGTCCTAAAACAAAGTTCAAAAGTCACAAAAGAAAGATCATTGGCAGCCTTTATGCTCAGGAAATAATCTGGAGAAGATTTTGCAAATAATTCAAGTAAGAATACATTTTAGGTTTCTTTTTTCTATGTAAAAGAGAACAAAAGATGGTTTATCCTGCAGCTTTTGCACTGAATTCCTTTATGAAGAAAAAGGTTAAATTGATGTTTGGTAATTTTTTTTTAGGTTCTTATTCTGTTGCTTTTTAATAGCCAAGTGTGTTTCTACTCCAGGGGATGCTTCTCAACGTTGCACGAGGTTGTGTTAAAAATATGAAATACCAATAAACCCTCATTTGTATTGCACGCAACCATCATACATTTCCTCATTCAAACTAATGAAGAAATATATATTTAGCAATGTTTAATACTTCTTGCCGTTTCACAATAGTCTTCCTAATTTACTAATCATAAAGAATTGTTTTAGAAAAAAAAGTAATCTTACACAATTCACAGCAGCTTTGATGATGATTTTAGATGTCAACCCACATAGCCTTTTCACATCTCATGAAGAAATGGTGTTAGAGCACCACTATAGGCATTTTGCCACCAAAAAATAATAATAATAATAATAATAACATACATCAATTACAATTATGTACATGGTTACGCACAAAGTATTTCTGATAGCCATATCTCATCAGCCTTCTCCCTAGATGGAAGAAGAAGAAAAAGGAAGGAAATTGAAGAACAAGACATATGATATTATTCTCTAAACTCAACATGTATGGGAAACAGTAGTTATTTCACAAAGTTATTCCTGTTTATAGAGTTATGACTAACTTATAATTTATATTGTACTTAAGAGCCTTTAAACCATAAGAAAGAAATGCCTTCAATAATAAAGAAAACCTTCGAGGTGAAATATTAGAAATCCTCTTTAGACTTTAGAGTAAAAAAAAAAAAGCATAGAACCAAGAAAACTGAACAAAAGCATCAGAGTAGCAGGGCTGTATCAAAGAAAGAAAAATCATTCAATGACATAATGAGTCTGAAAAAATTGTCATGGAATATGCAAAACAAAAACAAGCAGATGAGAAGAACTTATAAGATTTCAACTTTTGTAAGAAATGTCTCAAAGAATTTGCTTCATTTGAGAATGATGCATTGTGACATCACAAGGTCTCCAATTAAAAACTCCAAAGGCAGCAAACTTCAAGTATTCTAACATGTACCACAAGACATACAGATGATGTATTAGTCCAATGCTCCCAAAGATGATGGTTAACTTCAGTCATATAAGCAAAAGTTTCCAAAATTTACAAAGGCATGTCAAACAGAACCCTCAAATGTTACAACGATCAAAATATTCATGTCAGAAATTTTTTATGAATTGATTCATCTATATACCAAAAAGTACCATAGAGAGACAAGAACATTGAATTTAAGGCTCAACTTCAGAGGAAAGTCAGACTAAGAAGTGCAGCATAGAACTGATATTTACCAACATCCCTCTGTGGACACATTTCACCAAACCTTGACCAAATGCAGTCGAAAATGTAGCCCCATTTACCTATTTACTTGAACTGCATTATTCCATTGTCAAATATAGTCTCAAAAATGACAAAGTGATCACAACTCAATCGATTTTCAGCTGAATATCATTTACCCAAAAAGCTCTTTCAAGTCAGATCTTCTATGAAACCTTTCAATTTATTTCGCCCCGATTTAGAGAATGCCCGTACAGCACCAACCCGTAAAAATTAATCGACAGATTTAAGATTTTGACTTCACATTTGTCCTTTCTCACATTAATCTAAAGCCAATAAGACTAAAAATCACAATGAAGCGAGTGAAGGGAGGAGAGCGAAACCTTGGAAGGATCGAGCTTGGGGAAATCTTTGAGAACAGAGAGGACTCTCTCGGTGACTTCTTCTTTGGTGATATGATCATGGTGCGAAGACATGGACCGGAAGAAACCATTGCAAAGATTCAATTTTGGAGCGGCACGAGTAAGGGTTTGCGCCGGCACTCTGACATGGCGAAGTATGGCTGCTCTGAGCGCCATTTCTGTCTGGAATTGTTCGTGGGTGAGTGAGAATGAGGACTAATTCGACTGCGTGGGCGTTCCGGGTACGCTCTGGTTATAATCAGGGGAAGGGAATGGAGCCATGGAGAGTAATCCAAGAGGGTCACGAGCTGCTCACATGCTTTCCAAAATAATAATGTTTTTTTTTAAATAAAAATACACTTTTGTATACATGAAAAAAAATGACAGTAAAATCCTTTTAAATTATATAAATGATAATATAATCCTTGAAAATATTATAATTTTACTGAAATCTTTAGGGACTTCTTTGTCAATAAATTTTAAATTGAAAAAATTATTTGATCCTTATTAATAAGTTGTAATTTCTTATTTAATACTTACAATTATTTAAATAAAAGTTGTGATTTTTTAAACAAAAGTTGTAAATAGGGTTTGTTATTTTGAGAACTTGTTTTTCAATAATAAAAATTATATTTGATAAATTGTGATTTATTGTTTAATTATAATAATTCACGAAACAAAAGTTATTATTTCTTAAACAAACATTGTGATTGGTGTAAAAATCACCTGAGAGGGGTTGAATTGGGCCAATTAAAATTTAAATCAAGTAATGCAAAATTAAAGATAAGTAAAAAAATGATATAACCAAACAAACCTAAGTTAAGAGAAGAGAAGCTTTGCACGGAGAGTTTATCCTAGTTTAGTGCTATCCACTTGAATTTACATCTAGTCCCCAAGGCACTTATGAGATTTTTTACTATATACACCAAGATTAAATTAAGTTCTTGGTTGCCACAATATATCACAGACTTCTTATGTAATATCCTGATTATGGTTTTGGGTAGTGGATTTATGTTTGGTATTGTTTGACTAGTATGTTAATAGGATCGAGTTGTGGAATGATGATTTGGACGGGTAAAGCGCGAGCAACAATGAAAATTACCTTATTACACCATATGTCATGGCATGTGCTGCATGCACTGCAGGTTATAGCACAAAATTTACTTAAGTTTGATATGCCAGCTCAAGGAAAAATAAAAGGGAGTGAAGGGAAAACACACGAGAGAGAGGAAGAGAAAGGCTTCTTTGCTAGGGCTTTTGTTTTTGGAAGCTTGGGGGTTGACTTTGACCAGTGATGTATTAGGTAAGTTCCGTACCACCCTGTACTATATTTCTATCCTAATTTCTCTAAGTTTAAGTTATAGAGAAATTGAATCAAGGAGTTTTAAGGGTCCAAAATTTAGGTAAAAGGTTTTAAGAGCATTCTTGGGTGCAAAATTAAAGTTTTATGACTGGTTAGTGGTTAAGCCTTAGAGATATAGGTTCAAATTGACCTAGATGGTTAAGTTAAATAAAGTGAAAATGCTAGTTAAGTAAGTAAAAAGGGTGTTTGGTTACTTTGATGGCCTAAGGATGTGTGATTATGGTGAGTGAGTTGAGTGGATCCAAAAAGTGCCATTAAGATTGTTATAAATGCCAAGTGACATAGCTTAAACAACTTGTGTCTTGCATTGAGCTTGGAAACTAACTAAGGATGCCTAATTGTGTAGATTGAGCACTTGAGAAATTCACTTGTGAGAGTTTACACTTTTGAGGTGAAAGTGTTAAAGGTATCCCTGACAATAAGGATAAAATGTAATTAGATTAATCCTTTTATCTATTAATTTGTAAAATGATTTACAATTATTTTATATTAGCCTTATGCATTATGTTTTATAAAATGGTATAGTAGCAATTTTGCGAAAATTGATGCATGTGTGTGTAAGTAGAGATGTTTGAAGTATGTTGTGACACATGCATATTTGAATCCATGAGTGTACCCTAGACTAAGGTAAGGGGTTGTGGCCTTACTTTGTGTAAAACTAAGAAGTCCTGAAGGTCCAAAGCATTGATTATGATCCGCTAGTAAGGACTTAAGAATGCATTGACGAGTGTACCCTATACTAAGGTAGAGGATTATGGCCCTACTCTGTGTAAGGTTATGAAATCGTGGTGGTCCAAGCATTGATTTTTATCAGTTAGTGGGAATATAAGAGAGCATACCACCCATACATGATTGGTGGGCTCTGTTTCGTGTAAGGCTGAGAAGTCCTAATTCTAGCATTGAGTATTCTTTGCCAATGGGAAGCCGGGAGTGCATGAGCATAGTTGATGATTAAGCATGGCATCTCAGAGAGAGAGAGATATATATATATATATATTTCTTTTTTATTGAAATTGATGTTACTTTATCTCTTGTATTTGGTTTTACTTGCTAATTAATATTTGAGGTTTATTCAAGTTACTAGGACATATGTCTCACTCTGTTGCTTCTTGTGTATAGGTAAAGAAAGTTTTAGAAGGTTAGGAAAGGAAGTGAGGAAAGAGTAGCTTCACTTTTGATAGTGGTGTAAAACTACCTTGTAGAAAAATGAATGTATATGTGTTTGTAGTATTGTGTTGACTTGCTTGTATAATTTTTTAAAAGCATGAGTATTATTGCATAACAATATTTTAGAATGAGCACGATTGTTCAAGTGAACATTTAGTGTATGAATGATTTCAAAAGAATTGAGTTTATGGAAATGCATGTTTTGTGAATATATATATATATATATATATGAAGAAAAGGTGATTTATACGAAAGCATAATCATAGGGGTGAGAGTTCACCTGTAAGGAGAAGTAGTGAAAGATCATATGACATTATTCTCCTTAATCCTTGATGAGATGTGGTATTGGAGAATAGTATCTCCTTGATGCCTTTTGAGGTACGGTGTTGGAGATTATCACCTTAGTGTCTATCAAATTTGGACTCCTTAGTATCAATATGATGCGGTGTCAGAGTTAACAATACCTCATTGTGTAAAATGGGGGAAACCATAGTTTGGAAGTGAGATAGAACATTTTTGGCTAGGTGATTCTACCACTAAAGTTGAGCTCAAGGCCAATGATAGTGCATATTGGTCTAAGGTGAGCCTATGGTTTCGAGTCGGGATAATTTAGAAGTTTGGTTGGTAATGATCATGCTATTAGTACTGAATTGTTGTGAAGGTGGTGATCAGTGGTAAATTATTATATCTAAAAAGTGATTTGAGACAAAAGTTGTGTTACATGATATGTTAAACTATATACTATACTATACTTGCTTACGGTTGCATGTGATAGTTGGTAGTAAAGAGTTGTTCTATTACTCAGATTATTATCTCACCCTGTGGTTATATTTTTATATGTCATAGTGGTGAGCAAGGCAAAAGGAAAGAGTTTGGACCAGTATAGTAGTGGAGTTGTTGTGAAATCTGAGTTTGCATAATGAACACCTCACTTGTGCACATTTGTATATAAAGTTGTCATAAGATTTGCATGCATGTTTTAGGTTGTGATTTGTTGAGATAAGTAGTGAATTTGGTAAATCTTAACCTATACGTATATATATGTGGTGAAATGAGGATTATAGACTAAGATTTAGTTGTATACGTGTCCTGAATGTGGAAATGTTAGAATTTGTGGTGAAATTGTGGAAATATAACCAAACTAATATACTTGGTGTAATGTTGTGAAATGTGAAAATGAGCTGTTGAACAGCCAAATTTTGATATGTGTGTATATATGTGATAAAATGTGGTCAATCAGGTGTGATAGATTTTTTTGGACTTGGTTTAAAGTCTATAATGGTCTAATGAGATAATATGATCAATTTGAGTCCTTGAAAGTGCTAAATTTTTAGAAAAATTAGCTTTTTGCACATGAGTATTCAAATTTTGTTTAGACCATTAGATCATGTCTAAATCTGTCTCTTCAGTTAGCTTATGAGATAAGCTTTATATAGGTACTTGAATCATTCTGATTGAACATTATATGTAAAAATGACGCATGTCAGAAGTTTTCCTTGCAATCTATCAAATGAAAATTGCAAAAACTGTCATGTGCGTCGCGGCACATGACACAAATGACAGTTGCTCGTGGCTTTGTGCCACATGCTACAACATATGTGGTGCATGTCACAGTGCATAGCTCAAATTTTGACTTTATTTCTTTATTTTGAAGGCATGTATGGCCTTTTATGAATGTTGATATATTTTCTACTATGCTATACTCTATTTGGTGTTGATTTAGTTGAGAATTATGATGATTTTGAAAATGAGTCTAGGGCCCAAGTTTTTCAAACCAAGTAATTGCATACGGTCTGGTTTTACTATGGTAATCATGTTAATTCTCTCCTTATATCATGTTGGTATAAGGGGAGGGTTACAGTTCTTCTTTCCTTTTGTGTTTCTCTAAGAATAAGGTGATAAATTAGTACTTTATAATAGAGTTGCGTGTTTTTAGCATCTTAAGGAAAGTAACAGCTATATGCATTCAATTCTTTAACAAAATTACCGTTGAGATGAATAGTGGAAGAACGAAATACTATATGGGTATAAAGAAAGATCAAGGATTAAAATAGAGTTTAATCTAACCTAAAAATATATTTAGAAGGCTTCTAGATAAATGAATATGAGAGCCTAACACATAGAATGTGAAACAAATGAATAATGAATGAGCTTTAAATTGCACAGAAATGAGATCAAAAAATAAAGCACAAATCTTCATAGTTGTCTCGGTATAATTTACTTGTACAGGTATAAGCAAGAACTTATATGTAAAAAAGTGCTAAGTTTTTATACAAGTATAAAGAATTTGTAAGAATTGATAAGTGTTTAATTCAACCCAATGTTGTGTTAAAAAGCTAAGATTCTAGGAAGGTTATAAGGTCAACACATTTGATAGAAAGGGAAAGGAATTGATATTGAATGAGTTTTGAAGATTACGAAGTCAAAACACAAGGAACAAAGCATATTTCTATGTGTGCATACCAAAATAAACATCACTATATTGGTATAAGGAAGTTTTGTTTGGGTATAAGGAAGATTTAAACTAGAATAAGAGTTCAAGATAGTATAGGTCAACTTCTAACGGAAATAACTCTTTCATTTTAAATCCAAATCAAGAAAATGACATATGGTTGAAAATCTTTGGATGTCTAGTTTCAAATGAAATAATACCCAAGTGAAAATTCAAAGCATTTTGAAGGAGATGATCAAAATAGTGAGCCAAGGT